AGCAATAAATTTCCAATCTTGTTAAGTCTTATGAAATTTTTTTTTATTGCAGATTTTAAGTTACCCATCATTTTTAGAGTTCCACGACACTAAAGACCAGGATAAAACAGAGATTTAAAGACAAAGTGATATTGGGGCTTTGCAGACCTGCTTTCTATTATTATGAGAATCATACTATTTGTTTTTTAGTCTGATTTGAATTTTAGATATTTATATGGTCTTCATTGATGTTCAGTTTGTTAACAATCTTTTTACCCTTATGTGGAATAATTGAAAAAAAGTAATTAGTATTTATTATTTGTTTATTTACTTAATTGTTTGTTTATTTTTTCAGTTATAGTAAATATTAAATTCATTTGTTAAATTAAAAAGAAATAGTTTACTTTTTACCTGGTTACACTTACCACATGTTTTTTTTTTACCTGGTTACTCTTGCCACATGTTTTCATGTTGTTGAATTAAACTAAATGGGATGTTAAAATAAACTAAAAGGATTTTGACGTAAATTAAAGGGTGTTGAAATAAACTAAGGTTGTTTAAGTAAAATATAAATATAAACAAGTTGCAAAAATGACATTTTAAAGAACTATCCAACTGTCTGATCCAGAAGACAGATTTTGAATAAACATTATCAACCGTGTGTTGGATGTTATAAAATTCAATTGAAAACTAAGTTTGAAGGAATGCATAACATTATAAGCACATTTTCAGTGGTTTTTATAACAACTGTTTTCACCTGTTGTGAAAACAATTTATACAAAAAATTTTCAAGTCTAATGCAATAGTAGTGTAGTGGTCTAATGCAATAGTAGTAAGTGCTTGCTTTGTAAGCTGGAAATTCTAAGTTTAATCTTCTCCACATCTTTGGTAATGAAGGGCTCAACTTGTTCCTCCATACAGTGGCTTTATTTGTCAAGATTCTTGTTTTAGAGTTGAAGTTTTGAGAAAGGGTTGGTAGCCACAACTAAACAAGAAAAAAAGCAGCCTCCTCAACTGTAGTAATAGCATTAAAAAATTAACTATTCTCACCAAAGATGATATTTCAAAACAGTTATATGAAAAAATGTCCATGCTAAAATTTCTACTGTAGTTGTTTTCTTTTTAAGCATCAAGTAAAATAAAACAACAGTTAGCAAATTAACTAAATGTGCAATATATTTCATCTTCATATTTAAAGGTTGTGAATGCTTCGATTGTGTTTTTTTATCTGTATTGCCACTATGAACATTGTTAATGATTTTAATATTAAAAATATTTTTATAAAGTTTAGATAAGGATAATTTATGTTTAATTGCATTTTTTGGGTTTAGAACAACTTAGTGGTTTATGCTTTGAAGTTATGCCACTGCCTTATTATCATATAATTCTATGATCAATAAACAAACTTTATTTTGACACACTGGACATAAAGTGTTTGATTTAACAATCATATGGACAATATAAATAAATAATAATATATTTTGCTAAAAAAATTAAAAGATAGTATAATACAAAACAGTTTATGAATGGCTTTATTGTCAATTTTTACACCTCATAATATCCAACACAACTATATAATCGTAAGACACCCTTCACAACTACCTAATTGTAAGATATCCCTCACAACTATATAATTGTAAAATATCCATCACAACTACATAATTGTAAGATATCCATCACAACTATATAGTTGTAAGATCCTGAGGTCCTAATTTGATCCACTTGAGCATTTATTTTTTTATAATATTATTAAAATTTGTTTTCTGGATCAGACGATTAGACAATTTTTTAAAATGTTACTTTTGCAGCTTGCTCATCTTATTATTTTACTACAACACCCTTTAAGTTCATTTGTACATCCATAATTTATTTCAATATCCCTTTAGTTAAATTCAACACCTGTTTAGTTTATTTTAAAACCCTTTTTACTTTACTTCATCACCACTTTAGTTTACTAAACTAAAGGGGTGATGAAGTAAAAAAAAAACATCTTTTCAGTTTATACCCCTTATTTCTTATTTGAGCATTTAATTTTAGATAGACTATTAGGTATAAAAGTAACTAGAAATTTTGGAATTGTTAGAAAATTTAAATTTTGTAGGTACCCTTTGTGTTTAGGAGAATATATACAAAACTTTTATATATAATTTTTATTTTTTCAGAGTAAGTTTGTGGTTTGTTTTGTGGATCAGTCAGAGCATTATACGCTTGTGTAACACCGCTGGTTTCCTTTCTGTAAATATTTTTATAATTAACTCGGTTGAAAGTGATGTTGTTGGATTAGCAAATGGTTTAGGTTTCTCCATGGTGTCTATTGGAAGGTATTTTTAAATTTTTATTAAAACTTTTATGTAATAATCACTAAAGTGATGATGTGATCATCACTGATGCGTGATGTATCATCTATATATAATCACTACTCACGTGACCTGTTTTAAAGAATTTAAAGAATCTATGAAGAAAATATGTGACCTGTTTTAAATCTGTGTAAACTGTACAAAATAAATAAAAATAAAAAAAAATAGTTTAATTACAATGTCGTTTTATGGTTTTATTCTGAAATTTAACTTGACGTTCATTTCATTTCATGTCAGAACAAATGTTGCAAAAACATTTTTGGGTTTTGATAAATGCTTTCTTAAGTCACAAATTTTACAAACTTTTCAACCTGAGTAATTTAAAAGATATTTATAGCTGTCGTTCAACCATCAAAAGCATTATTACTTTTTAAATTAAAAATATACTATTTCTAATGAATATACCAATCAACTCATGCCCACTTAATAAAAAGTGTCTAACAAAAAACTTTATTTAAATTTGCAATGGGGTCGTCCATTAATTACGTCACGCTTTAGGGGTAGGGGTTTGTGGTTTTGTGCTGACTCGATGGAATTTACTAAAGAGTTACAATGTTGTGACGAGAGGGATAAAGGGTCAAAAACGGTCAAAAAATTGTGTGACATAATTTCTGGACTACCCTAATGTAAAAACTCATCATAAATAAGAAGGATATTATTACATTGGGCTCACTGAAAAAACATTAAAAGACAGGTGGTATTATCATAAAAACCCTTTTCTTTATGAAAGTAAAACGAACTCCACTAAACTTTTGAAATTTGTAACTAAAAATATCTTACTAAATATTATTATTACATGCTTACATGAAAAATTTGCAATAACATCTCACTCAAAATCTAGATGGGTTTTTATATAAATGATTGGAAATTATATTGAAATGCCGTCAATAAAATAAGTTCTTATTTAAAAATTACAAAGCTCTCTATAAACCCAATTTCTACCAAATAATACTCTGTTTAATATATCTCTAAGCTAACTAAAGAACCATTAACATGCATTCACAAACTCTGGATGGATTACAGCTAATGCAGCGAGTAAAAAACGATCACTAAAACAACTCTTGGTAGTAATTGCAGCTGTCAATGAACAAAAAAATAAAAAATAAGAGCCAACAGTGTAATAATTTATAAAATAGCTGATTCAGAAAAATCTTAATTAAACTTACCGAAGTCTAAGTAAATTAAAAAATTAGTTTACTTCGCTAAGTTTAATAAGCTAATTCTGTGTCCCATAAAAGGTTACTAATAAAAATGCTATGGGGTTTCTGATAAAATGGATTGAAGCACTTCTTTAAAATAGAAGATAAAAAGTTATGGAAGAAAATGTCTCTTTGAACGATATATCAAGTGATGTGCCGCAAAGCTTTTTTTAATTACATTAATGATTTGCCTGATAACTTTTTAAATATTTTAAAGATGTATGCCAATGATGTAAAATTACTATCAAGTTTTGATCTGCGAAATGATCTAGAGAAAAATGATCTAGAAAAAGCTGTCAATTAGTCCGATGTTAAAGTTTAATTTTGAGAAGTGTTTAATTATGCGCTTTGACAAAAACGACCACTAAAAAGAATTTAATATACCTTTAAGTACCACTGTCGCTTAATCTTGGTGTAGTATTTAGCTCTGACTTAAAAAAAAAATCCTCTATGTGCAAATAAAGAAAATAAAGTTTTGGGTGTTTTAAAGAATACAAAAAAAAAAAAAAGTGAATTACTAAAATTTATATACGCAAATTTTGTTAGACCGTTGATTGAATTTGCTGTATCTGTGTGGCGTCATTATCTTTCTTTCTGAACCTTCTTTAAAATATAAATTTTTTAAGAATGAAATTAATATTTTGAAAAAGGTTCAGGGTCGTGCCACTATATTGATATTGCAACTAAAAAAGCTATGTTATGAGAAAAGATTAGATAAGTTAGGCATTACTACTTTAGTTATACGAAAGATTTGAGGAGATTTATTTCAAATGTATAAGGTATTCAATGGAATTGAAAAGTAATTATAACCAAGGAAGTTCCAAAGAAGAAGTTATCTATCAACAAGAGGTCATTAAATTAAATATTTTTGCGAAATAGTTATATATATATATATATATATATATATATATATATATATATATATATATATATATATATATATATATATATATATATATATATATATCGTATTTTATTTTATGTAGAATTCATAAAGGTGATATAACACTACCACTGATACTGAATACCGAACTAATAACAATAATTTATTTAAAATAAATTATAAATTTTATAATAATTTCAAAGTAATAAAAATCAAATTTTTTTTTTATTTCAATTAATTTATTCTTTTAATTATTCTTAATAAAAAGTTTCTAGTTTTCTGGTAATTTATTAAATAAATAGAATTTTTTTTTAAATAATGTTAAATTGCATTATGGCAATTTAGTTAAATAATTTATGGTTCTTAACGACTGTTTTTTTAGAACTATTGGAGTTGCGATTTTTGGAAACATTTACTCGTGGTCGATGGGAAACGTTCATAGAAAAATAACAACGAATGAAGGACTTGGCTTTCCGTTCAATCAATATTGGGCGTTCATCTTAATTTCTATAACTTGCTTAGCTTGTGTTGTTATATGTTTTTGTATTCCCGTACGATTAAATAAAAAATAAGCATTTTTAACAATGTTTTGTTTACGGGACACACAATGTAATAGTAGCTTGTCATTTTTTAAGAACCTTTTGCACGCATGTTTTAAGGTGAACATACAGCTTCTTGTGTATTTTTAGAAAAATTTTATAAACGGGATCATAAAATTTTTCATAAAACTCAATAACAACATGTTCGAAGTTAATAACAACAACATTATTATAATTAGTGATTGACCCAAATTCTGTTTCGGTATCGTAACTTTGGGTAACCTTGAACAACCGTAGGTAAAATTGCACAATCAAAGTCAAAGATGTTTTACTCTCTAGCAGTTAAAAATTTGAACTACAACTGCAAAACACCTTTGAAGCTGTATATTCAGGTTTTAATAAAAAAATAATGTAAAATAGTCATTTTAACAAGATTTTTTCTACACAAGTAATGTTATTTAAACTGAAAAAAGCCACGCAAAGAATTTCTTGCAATATTTATATTGCATTATAAATATTGCAATATTTCTCTATATATGTAAATCTATATATACATACATATATATATATATATATATATATATATATATATATATATATATATATATATATATATATATATATATATATATATATCTATGTATGTATGTATGTATGTATATATAGAGCAAAAAAAAGGTTAACTATGCGTTACAAAATAACTTTTGAGCATAAAGGTTGTTCTTTAGCTCAATGAAAAAAAAAAATTCTTATCTGACATTAAAAAAAAAGATTTATTTTATGTCTGATTAGAATTCGTCAAACTTTTAGAGATATAAGCTAAACATATTTTTAAAACAAACTGTAATAACAAGATTCAAAAGGTTTTTTATTTAAAACTACTTTTAACTAACCTTTGATTCACATTTTTTGTATTTGACTTACCTCTGATTTTAGAAAGTTTGTTCACCTAAAGGGTTAAGAAAATAATTACACCACATTCTTTTTATAATACATATATAAAAAGTTACAAGTAGATTAACTTAAGAAAATACATAATAGAAAATAAATATATAAAAAAAGTGCAAAAAGTAATAGCTTAAAAATACAAAAAGTAATGGTTTAAATTACCACTTCAGACATCACCCGTTTAAACTGTTATCATAATCCTTAAAGGGTTAAGAAAATAATTACATTACATTATTTTTATAATACATTTATAAAAAGTTACAAGTAGATTAACTTAAGCAAATACATAATCCCAAAAAACCAATAAAAAAGTTGCAAAGTTCATGATTTGAAATAACCAAACTTCATACCTCACCCAAAAATCATTAAAACTGTCATCATAATCACTAAATGACTGCTGCGAGTTCATCCATAAAATATCAGGACTATTTGTCGTGATATTATTTTAATTACTGGAAAGAGCTTTACTAACATCTCTTTCATTTCTACTAGTGCATTTAAAACTTTCTTTTGAATTTCTAATAATAAAGATATAGCAGTAAGACAAAAGAACCAAACATTAGTTAATTTCTAAAAGCATTGAAACACAAGAACCAAATACACTATTTCAAAATATCTATTTATTAAATAAACAAAATTATTGGATTTTGAAAAAATATATTTCTTCTAATGGCTTAAAGATAATTACTTGCTTTTTTTACTAATTAATAAAATGAATGCATACCAAAATAAATATCAAATATTTCACATATCTTCCTCAGTAATGGGAGACTTTCCATTCGATAAGGAATCTTTTTTAGTAGCTTTTCTTATAAGGGAGTTGTGTCTGGTTAAACAACCTTTTTTCTTTTTTTTATATGAAAAAACGCACACGCCACCTTGGCTTTGCACTATATTAAAATACTCTCTTTCCTCTGGAAAATCTTGCCATTGCTGATCCTAATATTTTTAAGATCAAAAAATCAACCACGTAAAAAAATAATCAATACTAGAATGCTAGAGATTTTTGCTAAATGCTATAATAAAAATAAATGTCATACCAATGAAATAAAATATCATAACAAAGAAAAAAAAAACAGAAAGAAAAAAATAACTTTAAAACATTATTAAAACAAATAAAATATATCATTTAACAACCAATAAAATGTGTAAAAGCATAGAAAAAAAAACATTCAAAATCTTTTCTTTCCAAAACAACTTGCAGACAGACAATCAATACCTTGAACTATAGTATGCGGAGTATGCATAAAAAGTTGTTTTATTTTTTTTTTTTTGCGTTGTAGGAGTAGGTACTGGCTTACTATTCTGTTGGTTATTTTTGGTTAGATTATATTTTCTCTTGCATAAGAACAGTAGTGGTCCCTATAACAAATAATATCAAAATAAAACTAATAATACTTAAATTAAGTTTTTAACCTGAGTTTAAATCTTTTAAAATAGTTAACACTTTCTGATTCTGATTCTATCTGAGTATCACTAGTAGTGGCAAATTCAAAATTATCACATAACTAATGATAAGAATAATCATTCAATTTAAAACTATGTTTTAAATATATATTTTATAATAAAGAATATATCTTAAACACTAACAACAACATATACAATAATAGAGCATTTTTAAGAAACAAGGAAAAAAAGTAATGACTTTATGTTTATAAAAAAAAATTACATTATCTCCACAACATTTAATATTGAGCAACTTAAATATGTATTAGTTAGACTGCTACAAGGGAGTGCTGCTACATCGACTATCATATAGGTATGTGGATTGAAAATTTTAAATTAATTAAAGGCTAGATTGTTATATATCATTTGAAAGTGCTTCAATACAGTATTTTAAAGGTGAAAAAATTATTAAAATCGAACTATTGTACAAAAAGTTATGACGTTTTTAGTCACAAATTTTTGATATATGGATTTGCTGAAGAAACTGTGGTCAAAATTTAATTTTAAATTGTTATAACTTTGTCAATTCTTATCTAAATAGCTATAACTTAGTATCAAAACATAGGTGTAACAGTGGGCCTCAAATTTATAACATTGTCCACCTAATGGGCGTTTCCTGGTGGCTAGAGGGGGTGCCAAACCACCACCTGCACCCTAAAAATAAGCATATTTCTTTCAATAAAGAGTTGTTTTTTTTTCAGCAAACGGTTTATTTTTTTCATACAAAAAGTTCCTATAATTTTATTCCAGACCATTAACAATGATTGATGTATATTAAAGTTGGTGGTGGATATGGTGGTGATGGTTTAACACACCCTAATTTTTTTTTTCTCCCCCCCCCCCCAACCTAAAAATAAAATAAAATTAATAAATCTTTACAACAACAATTATAATTATTTTAAAACGAGTTAACAATTTAAAACCTGAATTAGGCTTTTAGTACCAAGTATAACCTAGAAGCTAAAGTTGAAGACCACAACCAAGCCTACTTTTGAAAAAAAAAGGCTTTTCGCTGCTATTCATAAATTTTGGTTAAGTTGAGAAGTTTGTTGAATAGGGTGGTAATGGTTACCCACAACCTACAATAAAAAGATGTTGAATTCTTAAAAATAATTGTATCTTTAACAAACAAAATAAATTAGTATATTTCATTTTTTGATATTTCATTAAATATATTTTATTTCATTACCAAAAAGTGTTGTATCCTATAAAAAAGTGTCGTATCCAATAAACAAAATGTAACAATCAATTTTATACTGTTCTGTATTAAAAGATTTAGATATCCTACGTTTAAATAGTTGTCTTGGCTTTTAGTAAATAATTAAAATAATCAATTTCATAAATGGAACACTATAATAATCATTTGTAACAATAGACACCACGTGAAGATAAGCCAGAGCCGTCTATCAAAATATTTTGCAAGTCACAACACTTGTGCAAAGGTCATTCCAAGTCAAATACTTTTATTCTTCTCTAAAAACATTTATAAAAAAAAGTAAAATAAAAACATATGGTTAAGTACCCGGCATACCTGACTTGATATGACTACTTCTTCAAGTTTTATGACTTGCGATACCTTTCAAGTTTTTTGCAAGTTTCATCATATGCGTTATCTGTTTTGCAAGTTTCATTACTTGGGGTATCTATTTTAAAAGCTTTATTACAAGTAATATTATCATAATTTGTTACATATTACACTTCAAAAAAAGATCAACTCTCATGGTTCAACATCAGCGGAAGCTATAATTTTTTCATGGCGTAATCAACAGCTCCAGTATCAGTATTATCTTTATTCCAGTTAGAAGTTGTGTAAACTTTGTCTTGTTTTGTTTTTTCAAGTTTTTTTTCTCTACCATCATACATGACATACTTCGAATACTCACTATCGTACCATTCATGGCAGAGTTTTTGACCAACAATTCTGACATTACATCATTTTGACATCATGACATTACATCTGACATTACATCACCTGACATTACATCATCTTAGTCATGAAGTTGTTTGATAGACAATGTATTTAAACTCTTTATTTCATTGTAAGAGAGTTCATGCAACTGTCATTTTAACTTTCTTTTGTCATTTTCATCCATTTTTTGGCATTTGCATGCATGTTTTTTTGAAATATCTGCTCATATATCATTATGCTTCATTTGATTTATCATCTCTTTTTATGGGTTTCTGAATAGACCATATAACTATATTTTCTTTAGATAATTGATCTAAACTATCTAAATATTTTAATTTGTAAGAAATATAACAAATTGTTGCATTAGGTGATCTTTCTTAAGCCTTACTAAACATTCCCATGAACTCTTCACTATTTATATTGTGAAGCCTTGCACATGTTTCCTCCTTCTTGAGAGTTTGGTTAATAGAAAGGGAGAAATATCTCTTACATTGATAGTTATGATGTCTCCCACTGCAATAAGACAAGCAAAAGTCATATTGATTAAGTGTTCATCAATCAAGCAAAACATTTTTTATTGGATCTAAAATATTTGGTTCAAGGTCATTTTAAAAAGTGAATCCAGATTTGATTTAGAATCTGCAATTTTTAGTAAAACATTTTTCAATACCCGGATTCCACTCAAATGGTCAAAATTTGAGGGTTTTCCAAATAATGCAAGCACACACTTTTGTTTTTGA